CTATCAAGCATAATTTTATAGAGGAATATTAATGGGATAGTTTACAAGCACCTAGAAAAGAAAGCATCCTGGGTTCCATAAGAATAAATTATACCAGACCAACTGGAATTCTTTTTTTGATAGGGTTAGTAGACATGAATTTTAGTTATCTGTTCAATATGATTCAACATGACAAAAGTGCCAAGAAAGATAAAATGAACTCAGAGGTCATTAATAAAAGGATAGGGCCTAGATCAAGGAAAGTGATGGTCTTGCTTTATTCTGTGCTGGGCAGACCCCACCTGGATTATGTCATCGGTATTGGGCAGCACCCTGTAGGAAACACACAGGCAATCTGGAGGGGATGCTAAGATACTGGACAGGGAGCCAGGGGTGCTTGACCTGGGTCACCTTTACTGCAAATACTCCGCCTGTCTGGGAAGGGCTGTCCTGACACCTGAAACCCAGTCAACATGACTGTGACTTGGAGCCAGGAAACTCTATCCCCCGGAGTGATTTTGAGAGGTTCTGTTCAGGTCTCATTTTATTTTTGCATCATCAGTGCCTCGTACACCATCCAGCACATAATTATTTGTGAAATGTGTAACATTAAATGGTAATCCCAAGGCCAGGCCAGTTCTGGTGTGAGTTTTTGGGTTGCAACTGGGTCAGCGGGTTCCCTAGTTAATCCATTTCTATAACCCCGCTAGGTTAAGGCCAACTTGGACCTTCTCTTTTCTTAAGGACACTTAAAAGGAAGATCCTTTCTGCTTTATCACCATTATTTTCAAACAGTCCTGTGTTGGTCTAGGACCTCCCCACAGCCACTAAAGGAAGGCCCCTGACCCTCCAACATGGGTGACCTCCCCAGGGCCACTGGCAGTAGAGAAGAAGGAGCCTCTTTGAGTCCAAGCCACACCACTCACTCAGCTGCCTGTAGAGTCTGGACTGGCTGGAAGGAGCCTGGTTTTGAGGGGCCACACCTGGAGTGCTGACCTGTGCAATCCATCATAACAGTATTTCTTCCCCAGTCGTTCATGCCTAAACTGAAGGCTGGAAATAGTTGTTCCTTACCATTCCCTTTCAGAATACCATTGGGCAATAATTTTCATAAAGGTTTTTGAAAACAAAGATAAGAAAAACTAAATAATGATTGCATTAGGCAGAGTTTATGGGCTCCTGATTTCAGGTTGCCTCCTTTGATTGTATTTCTCTCTCACTGAGACGCATCACGTCTCTAATCAGCTGGCTTTGTTCCACTGTGGAATTGCCTGATAACTGTTCCTGCCTTTGCCCATCCTTGAGGGGCAGTGTGGCACACTGAAAGAGGAACTATGCCAGTCACAAGACCTGAACTCTGATTCACCCCTACTACATAGTGGTTACTGCACCCTGGGCTGGTCATGTAACCTTTCTGAACCTCAGTTTCCACTAAAATAATAATAATACCTGCTCTGTGTTTCTGGGTTTGCTTTGCTTTATATTATGTGGGTGCTTCCTAAATTATAAATCACCAATCAGATATGAAGAATTGCCTCTCCTTAATTGTCTCTGATCCAACTATTTTCCAATTCTGAGATGAACATTTACCTTTACATCATGTTATGTCACTCGTTCATTTGTAGAAGGACTTTTGTCATTGCTAAAAAAGCAATGGTGGCATGTCTTAGGAACTCGAGTATGACTGAGGAGGAGAGAAAGTGGGAAAAAATGGTGATGGCAGAGGCCAGATCATAAATATTCATGTATGCTATGAATATTTGCCATATCCCTGTATGCCATCCTAAGGAGTTTACTTTCTAGAAATTTCCTTGATCAGAGATAGATCAGCTGTATATAAAGGGCTTTGGATTGAGCCTGGCATGTAATACATGAGCAATAAATTTCAGATCTCTTTCTCCCAGGATCCTGCCAAACCCAATTTAGTTACCACATGTTGTGTTCTTATGCATATGCGCTGTCTGTATACTTCCCAAGTGTACATCACAGTCAAACTGATCACATTTAACTCTCCAATGTCTATTCAAATGGAGGGAAAAGACACAGCTCCAAGAAGTCAGTAAGGTGGGCAGCAGACTCAATCCCAAGTATCTGGGGCTCTTCTCTGCTCTTCTGGCTCCACAGTCTGGCTGCTTGAGGTCTCAGTACAAGCAAACTCCAACTCAGAAAGAAACTGAGCATTATATACCAACAGCCACTGCCACCACCACCTACCTGTTGCCAGGGGGTGCCAAAGGGAAGATGCTGTGGCCTGCTAACACATCCTATGGTAACCCAAGGCCCAACTTACAAACAATTGTGTTCATTTGCCAAGACATGTACTAAAAATAAGGCTGCATTTTCCTATAATAAGCAATGTTATGTTTGTTGGATTCCTGGCTGAGCCCTCTAAACCCACCTACGCATACAGTAGTTAAGCTATAATGATGAGATATGTGGAACCCAACTATTCTGTGTAATGCTGTTTCCAAGGAAGAGGTATTCCCAATTCCAGGTAAAAGATCAGAAACACATATGACCCCCCCATTTTCTCTACCTTACCCCAGGCTCCAGCCACACTGAACTACTGCTGTCAATTCCTGTGAGCCATCTCCTGCCTCCAAGCCTTTGCCTGTGCTGTGCTCCAGGGCTGAAATGCACACTACTCCTCCCTGCCCTGGCATGTCCCTCCTGTGCGTTCCCGGATCATCTACTTCCTCTTGCAGTCAAAGCACTTATCAGTCCGAGTTGGAATTGCCTGCTTACTAATCCATCTCCCACCCTAGATTGTGACCTTCCTGAGGGCTGAGAAACTGTAACTTTCTTCTCTGTATCCTCAATGCCTACTGAGCGCCTGGCACACACTAGACATTCAGTAAGGTTCATTGGAATGAATGCTTGAATGAGTAGGGGAACCTTCTCTGACTGCACGCCCAGCAACAAGACCAAGGATCTCTCCCACTTCTCCATCACCTTCTGAGAACAGACACTTGCTCCAGTTGTATGCCCCCGAGTTTGGGTTGAGAGGGGAAGAGAAGGAGAGAGATCAGGAGAGAGGATGTGCTAAGGGAGGGGTCAGCATTCAATGAATTTGGCTATGGGATCTGCTCAGCAGCACAAGTGGGAAGAGGAGACTTCTGTCATAGCAAGTCAGGCATCTTTGTGATGGCCTGCCTTAGGAAGAGGACATTGTAAAATGGAGTAGGGGTAGCCTGCCTGTAGTTTCAGGAGTTGGTTCCTATTAAATTGCAAACTTCTAAAACAGAACATGTGTCCACACAAACACCTCTACACGAATGTTTATAGAGGCATTATTCACAATAGCCAAAAAGTGGAAACAACCCACCTGTCCATCAACTGACAGATGGATAAACAAAATGTGCTATATCCATACAATGGAATATTTTTCAACCATGAAAAAATATAAAATACTGATCCATGCTACAACATGGCTAAACCTTGAAGACGTTATGCTAAACGAGAAAAGCCAGACACATAAGACCACATATTATATGATTCCATTCATGTGACAGATCAGAATAGGGAAATCTATACAGACAGAAAGTTGATTAATGGTTGCTTAGGACTGTGGAGGATGGGGAGGTAGGGGGTGATAGCTAAAGGGCACAGCGTTTCTTTTTGAGACGATGAAAATGTTCTAAAGTTGACTGTGGTGGTGGTTGCCCAGATCTGTGAAAAAGTTAAAAGCTATTGAATTGTACATTTTAAATGGGTGAATTGTATGGCATGTGAATTACATCTCAATAAAGCCGTTAAAAAACAGAAAACTTCTAAAGCAGGGGCTTAACCTGGGCTTTTGAGAACTGTATACCGCCTGGAATAGCATGCTAAAATTGGCATCCCGTGTCTGTCGATTTCACTGGATTCTCTATGACTTTCTCTTTCACTGGATTCTCTATGACCTTCTCGCTCCTACCTCCGCCAAAGGTAATCACTGCTCTCCAGAGCTAAGGGCCCCTTCACAGGGCTCAGTGCAGTGCCTGACTGCGTGGAAGGGATGTGATGAATATTAATGTAATCAAATATGAAAATTCACAGTTTTAGGATTTAAATAAAAATTATTAGTGTCCACTTTTAAACAAGTAACTAACGTAGGAATAGAATGCAATATGGTTCCCTGCCTCCATTGCTGTAGAAAAGGGAATGATTGTGAATTCCATTCTGACATGTAAGTTTTTTTATTCTGAATTATTATTCGTAATAGGAGGATCTAATCATTTTTATATGGCTACTTGCTGATCATTAGTATGTTATTAAAAGCTTTTAAAAATAAGTTTAATGACTTGATAGGAAATCAAGTTATGTATATATGTAAAGTTTGTCGTTTCTCAACATTTAGCTGAAAACTTTTGCATCATCAGAAAAACATCAGGTTCTGTTCACCCCCTGAATCAAATAAATGTACTCTATGATTTTTCTCTGAATGATTAGAACCACAAAAAGCAGAGAAACGTCATTTGCATTATTTGACTTTGAGGAGCTGTGTTTTATAGACCCTTCTCTGGGTAAATACCAAGAGGGGAAAAGGTAGTAGAGGCTTGTTGAACTGGGCTGCATTGCATTTTTAAAAATTTGCATTTGTGTTTCAAGCTATTTGAAAAGTCTAAGAAAACAGATCATCTTTTTCTCTAACTCAAGGAAGTTAAGTGTGTGCTCTCACATTCACCCAAACGCTCCTCTAAATTTGCACTTTTCAAATTGAGGTACCGTATGCCTAGTTTTCTTTCTAGAATCTATTCTCACTGCATCCCCCTTTTGCTTATCAACACATCCTCTTTCCGATTTCTAACACGGTTCCTGTCCCGGCTGCGTTGCACCAGGAGACGGGCATAGGTTGCCTCTCCCTCGGTTAATCGTGCAGTCACATTCTGGTGAGGGACCTCAGCAGCCCAGCACGAGAGCATGGAAACAGCTGACTGCTGACTCAGAGGGGAAAGCAAGCCACCCACGAATCTCATTGCAGCTCGCTACTGCATCCCTATCCCATAATCCCTTGCTTGGTTTGCTGCAGTCTTTTCAACAGACGCTGAGTGAGAAAAAGATGTCCTGTGAGATAAAGATTGATGGGTTTGAATACCGAAGGGGGTCTCCCACTTGTTAATGACCCAGAAACATTCCTGCCGACTTTCCTGAGCCTTCTCTCCTTTCCTCCATTTTTCTCTTCCTCTGTTCTGTTCATGAACTGGCACATCACTACATAGAGCAGAAGATATGCTGGGCTTCTGATGATGGCTGCACTGCATGGTAGGGAATTTTAACCAGTCTCTTTGCATGGTGCTTCCACACTTGAGATGTTAGCTGAAATGTGCGTTGTTCTTTTGGATCGTCGCGGAGCTGCAGCGATAGGCTTGGGAGGGTTTAATTCTTTGCCTCGTTTATTAGTCTGTCTGCAGAAATGGGTAGGTCCTAAATGTTCGGATTGCTTAGTATTATGCCAGGTGGATAACTAATTTCTCATACTGTCTCTGTTCTGGCTTCCCCCCAGCCCCCAACCCCCATAGTGATGCTGTATGCTCTGTAACTATAAGATAGAGGGAGACCCACTATTTGCTTAAACAAAGGCATCAAATTAACAAGAATAGGGAGAAAGTCATGCAAGATTTTCATATTAAGTTCCTAATGTGATCTGATGACATTTTTATAATATGTATCTCGGCTTATTTTAAACAGGAAATTTTTTTCCCCTGCATCTCTCTGTTGGGTACAAAGATGGGGATGAAGTATTTAATTTGCAGGATCCCTTCCTCCATATCTCAGGGCGGAGGAAAATGTGCAATTCAACCCTTCCCCCACCCCATCCTCTGTTAGAGAACCCTGGGGTTAAGTGCCAAGGTTCCCAGTTACCATTGGAAACCCATTCATTCATAATGCATGACTCGACCCCCTGAATTCTGAATGCCATTGATGATCAGCAAATATGCAGGAGATAATTTGGGGGTTTTTTTCTGACATTTTTTCCCTGCCTTTGAAGTAGACTCAAAGCTGGGTGGAGTTCAATGGTAGCATTACACAGAAAAAAAGAAATCCTTGGGTTGGACCTTAGGTTTGCTTCCTGAAACAGTGGGTATTATTTTTGTATCAGAGAGCTTTTGCTACAAGTATGCCCCACCCTGTCACTATTCCTTATTTTGGGGGATAGGAGAGCAAGTAGGAAGGCTATTTATTTTAAACTAAGAATTGAATGTTAGTAAGTGGATTTCTGAACCAAAAGGTAAAGTGATAGTTGTCTTAAGAAAAGATGGTTTCAATGTCATAGTTTTAAAGAACAGATCTAGAGTCAGAAGGAGGCATTTTAAAAATTGTTGGTTTGTTTCTCTGGCTTAGATCATATTAGGACAGTTTTATTCCTCATGAATAAATTATTAGAGGTTTTTTTTTGTTGTTAATTAGAATATGTAAGGAGAGCCATTTGTTTGCCCAGATTCTTAAACTGATTTCTTAAATATTAGGATTCTGGTGTGAACCTATTTTCGGGTGCCTTTCATTATTTCTCAGCAAGTGCTTTGGTAGCACTGTTCCTACCCCAGTGTCATGTTAAATAATGCACGCCCCTCCCAAGCAAACACACAATGAGAAGTTTCATGTGTGCTGTGCTATGAGAAAGCAGCTTTCTGCTGCAGAGATCTGAGTAGTGGCCTTTCTCAAACCTCTAAGTATTTCTTTCCCATTTTCTCCTAGAAAGACACAAGCAATTTGTACTGAAAGGTTAAGACCCGGCTGAATGTAAAAATGTTCTCTGATAGAATGTGCTGTTTCGAGAAATAAGAATGCAGCATATATAACCCACATGTTTTAAAAATGGAGAATAAAATCTATACACATTTTTCACCATAGTTAATATTATAATCCTGAGATGACTTAATTTTTTTAATTTATATGATAACAAAAGCTTAGATGATTTTGTTGCTTGTGAAATAAAGTAAAAATACTCATTCTTTGTCTTACTAAGAAATGAAAATGTCCTTCATTTGGATATCTTTAGAGATTAATTTCTCCAAATGTATGAGTTTCTTTTATCTATCTTTATTAAGTAGAAAAAAATTCTAAATATATAGCAATTTTTAAAAATTTAAGCTTAATTTTTAAGACTCCCTTGTGCTTTTTTTTTCATTATCTCTCCCATAAAACTAAGACTTTAACCAAACATGTGTATGTATTAGTGAAATGTACAGAAGAGAAATACTTTCAAACATTAAAAAACTTGCTACCAAATCATTTGCTATCATAATTTTTTTTTCTTTCAAAACCGTGGCTGAATTACTTCTAATTCTGGCAAAATTATAATTTCCATTCACCTGTAGTTGCTTTTTAAAAAAAATATCTGTGATGCATCTGTGCCTCTTGATTACTTATATAAGGATTTTAGTGTAAGAGTAGAATTTGTGGTCTATAGTGGAGTTGGCTATTACGGTTCTCTGAATATTATTATTGTATAGGTTGTCTGAATTTAACAGATCAGGTTTCCTCCTAGAATTTGGAGGCTTAAATTAGACCAGCTACTGAGGGGAAAATGAGCCCAGTATAGTTATTCAAATAGCATCATTGAAGGCAACATTTATTACTGCTTTTTGAGTGCTAGTCTTCCTACCTTCTTCTGCTTTACCCTCCTCTGCCTTCATATTCCCAATCGTTTCCATTCCTCCATTAAGTACTTTTTTTTTTTATTCTTCTTGAAAACATGTTACTTTAAGTAAACATTTATTCTCATCCACAGCGGAATTAAATAATATGCTTCCTATCCACCAGTGACTGAAAGGGGTTTGCTGTTACATAGGCCCGCGTCTTTTGAAGTTCTGATGTAGAATAAATTCTCTTCCACCTTCTTGCTAACGTCGCCCAACTCCCAGAGCTTAGGGCCCTGGCTGCCCTCTGCCTTTTTTGTGGTCCCAGAATATTCAGCCTCTTTGTGTAGTCCCCAAGGAAAGCAAGGGAGGAGACTTGGCAGGATGATGGATGTGGGGAGAGGAGACCCCACTCATCTTGACTGTCCCAGGGTGCTGTAAGATGAATGTCAATTAGCCTGACCACTTAACACCCCATCACACAGACCCAGCCTTCAGGAACTTAGAAAAACCAAAGCAAATCTTAAGAATTGACTGCAAAAGGTGAGGACTTTTAGGAAGAGGGCAATGGCAGTTATTTATACTAAGGAAAGAGGTCGGGGAAATAGGCCTAAATATCATAAATACAAGTTGGGGGTTTGGCTTAAAAATCAACTTCCATATGGTAAAACCCAGCAATCTATGGAAGCTGCCATACATCTGACCCTGGAAATAAGGATAACCCTTGGAAAGCTTGGGCACATCCTTGCCTGAAGACAGAAGTTAAAGTGGATAGTCTCATGTATGCCCCGCACCTCCGCCCCGCCACCGCACACTCAAACACACGCACTCTCACACAAACTCAACCATAAACTGTCAGGAAAGATATTGCATCTGGCCTTCTAATTTACAAAATGGCCCATTTGGGATAGCAGCTTGATTTAACTGAAAATAGGTCAACCTGTTTTAATTTCACTGAAGATTGTCCTCTTTACTTTCTTTCAGTTGAGTCCTCAGTAACAATGCAAATTCAGTTGCAGATGAATGATAATATGCTCATAAATTTTAAAAATTAAAAATACCTTGTTTCTTTAATCATGTTTTAACCTGTGCGTTGAGCTCCAGGAACCACCTGTCCTGGCAGGTAAAAGGTAGCATATTGTGAGTTATAGATAATCCTAATGGTTCAAGATTTCTTTTCTATAAATGGACCAGAAGATTTTTAACTTCTTGGGAAGCTGATTTTAGCATGTCCACACCATTGTCATTGGCCCAAGAACAATAAAAAATGTAACCATATTAATAAGTAAATTCAGTAAATGGAAACAAAGAGAAGTAGTAACCCAGGAATGCCATAAACTTAGAAATGGAATCTATGCTTTTAGGATGTGTAATCAAATATGCTACCTCTTACCCACAAATCACATGTTAAAATTTGATTTTCCAAAGGAATCTTGACGTGATTCCCACCCATGTTTTCTAGTCCAGCCAGACAAGTTTTCACCAGCTCTCTCCCCTTCTCAAGAAGAGTGCTTCCAGTCTGGCTTTTCCCTTCCATCCTCACTTCCTTCTCTTCCTCACGCTGGTGTCAGCAATTAAGAGTTTGGATAGTTTTCTGACCTAAATGTTATAATTTGGGGTGGGAAATATGGCCTTAACTTTAGAATTGTGGACGCAGGCATTTTTCTCTCATTTCATCTCCTCCTATCAAGTTCTTCATTCCCATTTGGTCATAATTTCCACCCAGTTTTAGGAGATTTGAGACAGTGAGCCTGGAAAAATATCAGAGATGACGTGAGGAAAGAAATGCTGGGACAGGACTTTTCTGTGCCCAAGGATTTTATTTGACTGTTGCATTGTTTTTACCCACAACAAGCTGTGTTTAATTGGCAAGCTCCCACTAATAAGGAATTTATGTGTTAACCTTCTTAGACTTTTTACTTCCGTGCATGTGTGTCCTCAGTAGTTCTCAGTTTCTTTTCCTGCATTTGTGAGTGTGTTAAAGTATGTCACTAAATATCTCCCCTCTGGATGATGGCTTATGTTGCTAAGCATTAGACTGTCACATGGGGAGGCAAGTAATGGCTGATGTCAAGTGAAAACATTCACAAGCCTGATAATGACCATGCTCTTCATCATGTAATTCAGCAAATACAGCTCTTTTCTGCTACTGGGCCTGAGTCCATTCCCATGTTACACTGCATTCGTTCAGTTTATTAAAAAAAAATAATAATGAATGTCTGCTACGTACCAGTCACAGTTCTAGGTGCTGGGACTACTGCAGTGAGCCATCAGACAAAAATCTCTGCCCTCATGAATCTTACATGCTAGCGGGGTGGGAAAGGAGACAATATGCAACAAATATACAGTCCTTCCTCCTTATCTGGGGGGGATTGGTTCCAGGATCCCCAAGGATACTAAAATCCACGGATGCTCAAGTCTCTTATATAAAATTGCATTGTATTTGCTTATAGCCTATGCATATCCTCCTGTTCACTTTAAATCATCTCTAGATTACTTATAATACGTAATACAATGTAAATGCTATGTAAGTAGTTGTTATACTCCATTGTTTGGGGAATAATGACAACAAAAAAGGTCTGTACATGTTCAGAACATACAGACGGCAGCCATCGTAAGCCTTTCCATCCGAGGTTGGTTGAATTTGCGGATGTGGAACCTCGGATATGGAGGTTATATTATTACATACTATATTGGAAAGTGACCAGTGCTATGGAGAAAAATAGAGCAAGGACAGAGGGTAACAAGTGCTAGAGAACTGGGGGCAAGTTTCAGTTTTAAACAAAATGGTCAGATTGAGAAGGTGATGTTGAGCAGAGAGCTCGATAGAGGGAGAAGGGGAGAGAACCCCTCTCTGTAAGCAGTATTGCTGTTGGTTTTCCACCCACAAGAAACTTCAGCTAGTCTCCCCACATAAGAGCTCTCATAGCGGGTTAATGTCAATATTACACTCATGTTGGCTGTTTACGTAGTTTTAAAATGGCTCTTCCTGCCTTGGCTTCTCTATCATTTCCTTTCTATTGGCCTTTCATCAATGTGTCTGGTGCTAGTTCCTACATGCAAAAGCTTTTGGGCTCCTTCAGAGACAAAGTTCCCCAGGCATGTTTTCACTTGCGTCTCTCTGGAAATTAGTTTTGCTGATCACCAGAAGAATAATTCTATATTCTGATATCCTTTATTATCTATCGTACACTTATTTCTGCTGGTTGTTTGAGTGAGAAGGATTTTTGACACTTCAGAAACCAAGATGGGGAAAGGAGACCAGCCGAGACTCTAGATAAGTATTTTATTGCTTTTCTAATGAAAGAGACCAGACACTGTGGTAGTGCCCAAACACTTTGATTAAAGGCTGTCATATATTCTGTGTATATTCCTCAAGGCATATTCAGACTGGTAGAAGGTTTCCCACAGTGCTTATTAGCACATTCTGTACATCCATTTTTCTAAGCACATTATCCCTTTAGGAGTAGTTAAATTGTCTTTCTATTGTGGATATCCAGTTATATTCCGGGAATGATCGTTATCCTGGCAAAGTCTCAATTTGGGGATCTTTTGGGGTTGGAAACCTTTTGTGTTGATTCTGGGAGTCCTGAAAATCCAGATGGCTTCAACAGGTCGCTTGTGACAAATCTGTAATATTGTCATGATTTTAAATTAGTGTTAATGAGTAAATTTAATTTACCATTTAAATTAACAATACTAACAAAGACTTACTTTCACCCACTACATAAAATTATGTCGTAAAATTAGAATGAAAATTGCAATGAAATGTTTTTATTTCAGCTTTGGAGAATAAAAATGTTGGCTCAGGAAATTTCATTTAGTCAACATATGTCATTTGATTAAAACAAATGCTTTTTCCTTGCCCCAAATCCAAAATTCTTAAGGTTAAAAAAAGCAAAATCCAATATGATGTTTTCTCTCTGCTTTTTTCAATACTCAGCATGACCGATTATTTCAAAGGATAATCTGAAAAATTTCAAAAGCTATTAAAAAAATTATTTTAACTGAAAAGTTCAGTATAGTTTATTTTTACATAAGGAGCACTTCACGAATTTGCATGTCATCCTTGCTCAGGAGCCGTGCCCATCTTCTGTACCATTTCAGTTTTACTGCTGCTGAAGTGAGCACTCTATCAATTTTATGTCACACACCCACACACACACACACCAGTAAAGTATTAAACTTGTGCAGGATTAGGTATCATTGACTTATCAGATAAGACAGAAAACTTGAAATCTGAGTTTTCTGACTCACTGATTTTACTGGTTGACCTTGGGCAAGTCATTTAAACCCTCAGCTTTGGTTTCCTTAAGATAAAGACAGACAAAGCCATTCTTTCCCTGTTCTGATGTCATAGGGATGTGGTTAAAAAAAAGTGGAGGATGTACCAACATTTTGAGCTCCTGAGAGATGAGCTACATTTAATCCAATCAATGAATATCATTCTCTACTCTAGTTCTTGAGGGAGACACTCTGACAGTCTAGCAGACAATGCTGGCTAATTAGATAAGTCACACCCACGCTGTTGAACTAAAGCAGTGAGTTCTGTTTGAACGTGACACCCTTGTATAGCAGGTGCTTTCACAAGGTTCTGTTTATTAATCATGCTCTTTAATGAACTTATCTAGAAGGTATAGAGTTGGAAAATGGGTGCGTCATGTATGTAACTGTACTCAAATATGTCTAAATAGCATTTTCTTAATAAAAGTTGACATACTTTTAAAAAATTTGGTGATTTGGTGGGGAGAAAGAACTATCATTTATATTTGGAAAAGAGTGTTTCCTTTAGAAAGTGTAGAATTGTTAATTCTGTAAATATGGTGTATTTCCCAGCTTCACACACAGGTCCCAGGCCAAGTTAAAATGTTATGTATAAACCAAGTTTCCATAGCACAGCCTTCCTGAAACACAAGGTCAAGGGAGGTGTGGGGGTTTAAGGAGTGAAAAGGCCATGGGTTTTTGCATTCTGGATAACTTCTTGTGTGTGTGTGTGTGTGTGTGTGTGTGTGTGTGTGTTTGTGAGGAAGATTAGCCCTGAGCTAACATCCATTGCCAATCCTCTTTTTGCTGAGGAAGATTGGCCCTGGGCCATCTTCCTCTACTGTATATGGGACACCGCCACAGCATGGCTTGACAAACAGTGCGTCAGTCCGAGCCCGGGATCCGAACCTGCGAAGCCTGTGTCGCCAAAGCAGAACGCACAAACTTAACCAGCACGCCACCCGGCCAGCCCCCTGGCTAACTTCTTAACTGAGCTTCTGTTTTTAAAAATCTATAGAATGAGAATACCACCTAGGGTCATATTGAAGATTAACTAGTTTTTTTTACAAAGAGTTTATCTACTGGGAATTGGAGGGCTGTGGACACCTTTGCAAATATTTAGAAAATTAGGAAGTGAATTTTAGCTCAGCCTTGGTTTACCCCTTTGGCATGGAAGCCAGAAATTCTTTAAAGTGGTGAATGAGCTGAGCTGTATGTTATAACTTTTCCCTCCTTTATTCTGTCATAGGCCCTCCACTTTCTTCTGTGTTGCCCCCCCTTCTAATTCTCCTTTTCTGGCATGATCCTTCACATTTTGAAACCTCCCCTGAATTAATTCACTTCACGTCCAATGCCCACGTATGAATACCAACAGACATTTCTTAAAATAATAGGGACTCCCTCTAGCCTTTGTCCCTGCTCCATGGAAAATACATTTTAGTATGAAATCTACGAATCTTTAGTTCTGAGGAAAACACTGTGGACCACATACAAAGTTCCTAATTAAAAAATATTAACAGTATGTAGCAGAGGAAAAACCTTTCCCCTACACGTTTAAGTTCTGTAACTGAAGCCTGTGAATTAAACCGACAAAAGACAGATTATCAGGAGAAAAAGGTGTGAAAACTTTATTGATATTTTATTTTTCCAGATAAAATATATATCATATTTTATTGAACTTTATTGATATCATATTTTTAATTTTACATGCATGGAGATTTCACGGATAAGAAGTGAAAACACGAAGAGGCAGTTAGACCTGGGAGCTTACATACTATTTTAACAAAGGATGACAAATTGTGGAGAAGTGACTGGACAAAGGAAAAAGGAGTTTGAACTCCAAGGGGCAGTAAACTGTGGGAAAAGGACCAGGAAATGCATGAGAGATAAGGGTTGTTTAGCAAGGTTTATGCAGACTCACCCCCCGGTGATTGAGAGTCTTCTCCTCTTCCTGGTATGGGAGAGTGAGGCACCTTTGCAAACGGGAAATTTATGCCCTGCTTTTAGGCAGATGGAAGAGGGCAGAGAGCTCCTCCCCTGTCTGCTGTTTCTCAATTGCCTTCTGCACAAAATAATCCTTATGTCAAAGTGACATATTTTGATCCCCCTTAAGTAAAATAGTTGGGAAAACATACTCTATCTGAATAAGACTATTTAATATAGACTATAATAAGACTATATTTTAATAATACTGTAAATATATATTCAGATATAGTCATGGCTGAAGGCGTGAACAGGCGTACCTATATAAGTATTTATCCCATCAGCTGCTACTGCTTTGAAACCCAGCAAGCATACCTCTTTGTACAACACACCTTCTTCTAATTTGTTTTGTTGGCATGGCAAACATGTGATTATTTTATTGATTTACAAAACAAACAGGCAGCTCACAGCGATGAGGGTTGGTTATGGTCATTTTGAGGTCACTGACATGGAATTCTACCGTATTAATAACACAATGCCGATAGTGAATGAGCCAATGATTGATTTGCACTTACAGATTATTATATATTTTTCCATCTTGGTTTTTCTGTCTGACAGCAGCAGCGTGCAGCGTCAAAGACAGTCCGCCTCCCATGTCAGTGGTCTAGGATGGCCAGTGAAGCCACCAACATCCCAAGTCCTGTGGTGCGCCAGATCGACAAGCAGTTTCTGATTTGCAGTATATGCCTGGAACGGTACAAGAATCCCAAGGTTCTCCCCTGTCTGCACACTTTCTGCGAGAGGTAAGCCTCCTCTGTGCTCGGAGAGGGAGTTTCACAGACTGACCTCCTATAACCTACCACAGGGTTCTTTCCAGAATTCTACAGTTACCTATGGGAGACAATAAATCTTTTGTGCTTCTGATAGACAGCTAGAAACATAATCATGAGTTGCCAATACCTTACTTTGTTTCAAATAATTATAAGTGGGAGAAAGCAATCCAGTAGCTACTGATTCATTTCCACAGGAGATGGAGCATTAAATATTTTAAAATTTAAAAATTTTTAAAATTTTCCTTTTGTTCTTAGTGAAACAATTGTTGCCAGCCACAGTCCCCTCACAGAGGATCTTTGATTAGGGCCAATTAAAAATATATCATTTCCTCCCATGTCAAAAAAAAATCAGGTAAAATACCTGTGTGTATGAGGAGTTAGTTAAAAGGAGAGCGCTTCCTTCCAAAGATACTTCAGAAGACACATACGACTGGCACATTTGAACATTGTGATGTTTCAGATGAAGAAAAAATACTGTATCTATATATAAAATAATTATAAATTACCTTAATATGTAATTTGCTATATATATGAAAATATACTTTCTTATTTATCTTTCTTGAGTAGTTTTTTATGTTGAGTTTATCGGTTATCAGAATACACATTTACCCCCTTGTTTAACTTACCGCGTCAGCAGCAATTAAGCATAAAAAGGTTGTTAATAATTAGTTTATCTGTGGCCTAATTTAAGTATTTTCCTAGTAAGGTTATATGTTTTCCTTAAAACAAATATGGTAATTATGTTTTACAGCATTCTGTTGAATGTATTTTCTATTATTATTTAATACACATAATTAAAATGCTTTGCTTCCTGTCATAGAAGAGAAAATTGGTATTTCCAATGGCTTCAAATCAATGCTAATTACATTTACCATCCAATTTAACATACATTTGTTGTCTGATTGAACTTGCTTTGAGTTGATTTACTTTGGAAGGTCTCAACTGCAACAGAATAACCACATCCTTGGTGTTGATGGATGGAGGGCGAAGGTGGATTTGTTCCTGGTAGTTGTGGTTTTTTGTTTTGCTTTCTTTGTTTTCAGTTGTTGTAGGGTTTGTGTGTGTGTGTGTGTGTGTGTAGAGTTTCTGTTTGTTTTAATGGTGGCATATAGGGCACCAATACTTTTTACTTTATTCATTTTATACTTCGGCTTAAGTACTTTGTAATTCATAATCCAAAATGGCTACATGGAGAGTGATTTTTCCTCCTCACTCACTGGGCATACCAGCTAACGTCCACGTGTCCCTGGGCTCCCATGTAAGATCATTATTTGATTTGCAGCAGTCGACATAGCCTGGCACTCTATATACAACGCCGAGAACCACTCGGTTTGAGCTCCGCAGAGCTGCCCCACTCCCCAGTGTTCAGTGCCCGGTCAGTCCGTTGTTTGGTTCTCTTTTCCTTGCTCTGACAAGTGAGAAGCAACACTTCTGGGCTGCCCTGGGTCCTCCCCCCGCCCTCTCTGTTAGGTCTAGCCCATCCCACTTCCGTTCTCCTTCCAACAGCTAGTGGTGGAGATTTTCAAGATCCTACACAGCAAGTCCGTACGGAATGCTATGTGTTAACATTGTTTTAGCATTGTGTGCATTGAATTTCCTTTTGAAGGTGCTGGTGACTTTCCTTAAAATGGGGAAATTTTGTTTATGTAGAGACAAAACTTCATGGTTTTCTCACTGTCAGGAAAGTGAGCCCTGGGATCCCTTACCCTCAGCTTCTGCTGGGCATGCACACCAGCTGCTCAGTGAACATCTTCTCATGGTCACTCTCGTACTGTCACATCTTCCAAAATGCCATCAATGGGGTTTGGAAGGAGAGTCAAACCAGACACAGTCCCTGGGCTCATGCAGCTTGCAGCCTAGTGGAGGAGCCAGTCATTAACTACCTAATCACTCAGATTAGTGTGAAATTAAACCAGTGACAAGTGCTACATATCAGAAATACACAGGCAACCACATAATAGGGGCATTTGCTCTAATCAAGGAAGGCTTCCCTGTAGAAGTGATGATTAAGCAGAAATACCAAGGATGAGTAAAAATTAATTAAAGACACTTTGGAAGAATTTAAATAAGTCCAGTGTAGCTGGTGTGCAGCAAATGAGGGGAAGGGACAGAAAATGTGTAGGTGCCAGATCATATAGGTGCATTACCCATATTACCATACATGGATTCTTGTCTTTGTTGTAAGAGCCACGGAAGCCATAGAAAGGTTTTCATCTTAGATGTGAGAGGAAGGAGATTTAAATGGTTAGTTTTGAGTTTTAAGAAGGTCACTCTGGTTGCAATATGGAGAAGGGTTAGATGGGTACAAGAGTGGGTGACAGTATACCAGGTAAAGCTAATGCAGAAATCTAAGAAAGGGTGGTGTAATGCAGAAGAAGAGAACTGGAGAGACTGGAAAGATATTCAGGAATTTCCAGGCTTTGGTGATGGGTTGGATGCAGAAAATGAAGGACAGCAAGGGAATTATTGTTTTAAGAATGACTCCTAGTTTCTTGTTTGCTTAGATGAATGAATGGAGGTGCTGTTCAGGACACAGTTTGGGAGAAGATCGTGGGTTTAGTTTTGGACATGTGAGTCTTAGGACCTGTGAGACATCTAAGAGGAGATGTGAAGAAAGCAGTCACTGCACAGATATGGGGCTCAGAGGAGATATCTGTGGGAAGAAATACAAATGTGAAGGTGTTATGTTTATAGTCACGCACATGAATAGAATATCCCAAGGAGAGATGAGGGCTTACGATGCAGCCTTGATTAACTCCAAACTGTGTTGTCTCAGTAGGAAAGACAGAGCAGACAGAAGGAGAGCCAGGTGAGTGTGGTGTCATGAGCCCAGGGAAGATAAAGTTTCAAAAAAGGAGGGGGAGCAGGCATCGGTAAAATTTGATGAAGGCTTCTGAGAAGTCTAGTAAGATGGAATTGAAAAATGTCTATTGGGTTTAGATGTCGTTAGTGACATTAGCAAGAGCTGTTTCATTTCTGGTATTGATTCAGCCCTATTTACTTCTGTGACATAGGGAAGGTCATTTAACCTCCTTGACGTCAGTTTCCTCATCTGCAAAGTAAGGGAAATGGGGCAAAATCAGAGGTTTTCAAATTCTGTTTGGCTGAGAAACTGGGAAACATTGTATAGTGTAGTTATTTAGAGGTTAGAGTCTGGTACCAAATTACCTTGGTTTGAATTCCTGCTCTGCCCCTGACCACTTAAGTCCCTTGTGCAAGTAACTTAAGCTTTCTCTGCCTGTGCTTCCCTGTATGTCTACAGGTGATCACAAGAGTACCTACCTCATAGCGTTATTGGAAGTACTTTGAATTGAGTGAGCGGTATATATGTTAGTCATTATTAGTGATACATTTCACTAATCAAATGAATTACATTGATGCTCGTTGAGGAGAGGCCAGAAAAGATCATGTCAGTGACACTCTGGGTGTCCTATTCCGCTTCAAACAAAACTTGACCACTTTGATGTGTTTTTTAACATCTGAGATCTGTTTATGATATTGTATGTAAAAAGAGTTTCAATGCTAACAAAAAAGTTTGATATGTTTCTCCCAATCGTAAAAGTCCACAAATTCTTGAACACCATGCTAGATATTCTAGACCAATGCTTCTCAGCCTTTAATGTGTATACAACTTGCCAGGGGATCTGATTCATTAGGCCTGGAGCGGGACCTGAGATTCGGCATTTCTTCCAAGCTCCCCAGTAAGGCTGGTGCTGCTCATTGGTAGACGAAACTTTGTGGGGCAAGACTCTAGAAAACACTACCAAAAGTCAATGACATTATTGCTTTTCTTGAACATAATCATTTGCCTGATCAGTTGACAGGGCTTATGTGAGTACAGGTTACCTCTTGATTTCTGAAATATATTTTCCTAGTAAAGGAGGCTATGAAGGGAGTCTCTGCAAAGTAGCCGATGTAGTCGCTGAGAACATATGTGGTACCTTTGAGAGGTGGCGGCTCTGCTCTGTGAACCCCACTGTGCTGACAGCCCTCCTGCTTCTGCTTCTGCAACAGGTGCCTGCAGAACTACATTCCCGCCCACAGTTTAACCCTCTCCTGCCCAGTGTGCCGCCAGACCTCCATCCTGCCCGAGAAGGGGGTGGCCGCGCTCCAGAACAACTTCTTCATCACGAACCTGATGGATGTGCTGCAGCGAACTCCAGGCAGCAACGTTGAGGAGTCCTCCATCCTCGAGACGGTCACCGCAGTGGCTGCGGGAAAGCCTCTCTCTTGCCCGAACCACGATGGGAATGTAAGTGGCAGCCTGTGTGCTGTGATGTGGGTAGGCTTGGGGCAATCAGAGGTTACACACTGAAACAGAACTCCACCTGCAAAACGAGGAATTAAAAAAAGATCTTTACCAGTCCTCAGACTATGTTGCCTGCTTACTTTCTCTGACGAAATTTATTTAAATAATAAAATCAGTCTTCATTGTGTCTGCTTAGCACAAATTGTTGATTTCCCCAGGAGAGCAAACCTGTAACTATTCTCAAGCTGGGCATACTCTGACCCACATAAACATCTGTGTAATAAATTACGGATAAATATTTAATAATAGATAAGTTCTGCAAAATTGAGAATGATTATTAAAATGTTAATTAATTACAATTCTTTATTTTTCTTGTGAGGGAAATTTTTCTCATGCTCCATTAGACCCTATTCTTGAATAATAAATAGAATTTGAAGATAGGTGATTCCCTGATAATAGATTATAGATTATGGATTCCAGACATATGTCCTGCTACCAACAAGTGCAGTAACTGTTATAAACTCAGGAGGGCCCATGAGTGTGGTCAAATAACTGAGTGACAATAGCCACGTAACTCGAAGAGGCCGCATTGGGTGGTGGCTAAGAGTGCTGGCTTTGGAGTCAGACTGCCTGATTCAAATCCTGCTCTTCAACGTAGTCCCTGTGTCAATTTTGGCAAGTTTATTAAACTCTCTGTGTCTCACTTCCTCATCTGTAAAAAGTAAGTAATCATAGTATTTACTATAAAGGATTATTGGGAGAATTAAATGTTTAAGTCATATCAAACATATAGTAAGCTCTCAATAAATGTTAGCTATTAAAATTATTTCTAATTAATGACATTTCACTTTTTTCTTTATATAATGGCCACTTCCAAAGTGTTTGAAACTGCTTATAATATAAGGCCCAGGTGTAATACAACCACTAAGGCAACAGGAGGTTGTTAGAGCAAAGCAATAACTATCAGCCATAACTACTGTTTATTTACCTCTCATTCCACTTTCTTTGCCCTCCACGCTGCAGCTTCACTGGCCTCCTAGAACCTGCCAAGTGGTGTTCCACCTTGAGGCTGGGCTGTTCTCTGTTCCTTATGCCTAGAAGACTCTTTGCTCCCTCTGTATGTGGCTAGCTCAGTCTCACCCTTCCTGTCTCAGCTCAGATTTCTCGTACACAGAACAGCCATCTCTAACTGCACTATCTTAGGCAGACCACCTCTGACACCCAGGTACTCGCCATCTCATCACTATCTTGATTTCCTTCATGGCATGCACCATGCTCTGCCTGCCTTCATCTGTGTATTTGTTGACTTATTGATCTCTGCCTTTCCTTTTAGAAAGTGAGCTCCAGGAAGGAGGGACCATGTTCATCACTATACCCCCAGCACTAAGCACAGTATCTTATACATGAAACTGTAGAAATAAACAGAGACCAACCAAATAAGAACAAACAAAGGCTATTTATTCAGTGTTTGCTATAACAAGGAGGCAGCCACCATCACTTGTGTTTTGGCAGAGACTCAAAGGCAGGCAGAGGAGTGAGAAAGCTCCATAGTGGAAAAAAGGAAGACTTCAGGTATGCTCTGATTGGAGGCTGTTGGCGTGGGGAAGCTGGAGGTGGGCTAGGTAGAAGTGGGGCATCCTGTGTGATTGGTCAGGGGTGTATATTTGGCTTTCTCTGGTTGGTCCTAAGTTGGAAGCAGGGACAAAAATTAGTTATCAGTAATCAAGTCCTAGCCATTTGGGGCCAATTGTTACAGAAGTTATTGTTTAACTTTTTGGATTGTTTCTAGAGAGAGCAGTCTGATTGCTCTAAGTCTGACTTAGAGCAGCCTGGCTTCCTGGGTTGTTAATTGTAAATAAAGGGGGTGGTTTCCTGGGCAGGTTGTGGGTCAGAGTTCTATATTTTTTTTTTTTTTTAAATGAAAAGACCAGTGTAGTTTATTTATTTTTTTCCCCCAAAGCCCCAGCAGATAGTTGTATGTCATAGCTGCACAGCCTTCCAGTCGCTGTATGTGGGACGAGGCCCCAGCATGGCCGGAGAAGCGGCGCATCGGTGGGCACCCGGGATCCGAACCCGGGCCGCCAGCAGCGGAGCGCACGCACTTAACCGCTAAGCTATGGGCCGGCCCCAGAGTTCTATTTTTATGTGTGGTCTGGCCATTGTATTGTTTTTATTTATTTTTTTTTTTGGTGAGGAAGATTGGCCCTGAGCTCTAACACCTATTGCCAATCTTCCTCTTTTTTTTTGGTGAGGAAGGTTGGCCCTGAGCTATCATCTGTGCCAGTCTTCCTCCACTTTATATGTGGGATGCCGCCACAGCATGGCTTGATGAGTGGTGCGTAGGTCTGCGCCCGAACCTGCAAACCCTGGGCCGCTGAAGCCGAGTGCGTGAACTTAACCACTTTACCACCAGGCTGACCCCTGGCCATTATACATTTTCATATTCAGTCTCTCGGAAGTCAGTCAGTACATATTTGTTGAATGAATGTGCCAGACACCATGCTTGGCTTCTCACCCACCACTCTACAAAGTAGGTGTTGGTTACCTTCATTTTATAGATGAAGAAACTGAGACTTGAACCGTTTAAGTCACAGAGCTAACTGACACATCATAAAAGCTAGACAGAAGGAAATAGCATCCTGAGCTTTTCAGTAGCCAAAACAAGAGAGACATCGTGGATTATGTATGTTTAATTTTTTAATTGACAGCACACCAGGCTATCAATAACTACAGATTTTCCACACGTTGTACTCCAAGGGAGAGTTACCATGTAAGTTTTGTAAAAGGAACTTTGGTGCCTTCAAATGCAGTTCGAGCATTCTTCTTATGACCATTTCTCACACTGGCTCTTAGTAAACGCTAAGGCTGTCTTCTCCTGGAGCTCACATTCTAAACTAGTCTGGGGAGGCACTTCTATCAGGTACATGAGTCCTCTTAAAGTGTAGTCCAAGCACGGAGCTCTCTGCAGATCTGACTTGATAGGGGAGTAAAGTTTCAGAAACATTAGAAGATCTGCTGTAGACACTGGTCTAAATTTGGGGTGTAAAGGACAATCATGTGGAGGGGGAAATAATGACAACTGGAAAGATTACATCAAAAAGTAAAGGTAAGAATGTCATGGAATTCAGGAAACGGCTTGTAGCTCAGTGCAGCTGGAGCGTGGAGACAGGGGCGGTGGAGGCGGGAACACAGGTGCGCTGGAGGGATGAGTCTGGAAAGATAGATGGGGAGAGACTGTGATGAGCTGTGAATACATTAAGAAAATGTATGACCTAAATTCCATAAGCAGAGGGGAAGCATTAAAACCTTTTAAACAGGAGATGGGTATTTTAGTGGCATTATGGAGGAATGGAGTAGCAGAGACTAGAGGCTGTGACACCAATTCTGAGTTTATTGAACTGTGCACATGAGAGATAATAAAGGGTGGAATGAGACTACCATCAACGGACTTGAGAAGAGAGGATGAATTCCAGAGAAAAGAGTACTTTCACTTGAGAATCTGCCTCCCACAAATAAAAAGGCCTATGCTAAAATCTGTTCAACTAAGCTGTTAAGATTGTGAGAATATGAGCCATTAAAATTAGTCATATACTAGGCCACACAGAAAATCAGTGTATTTTCCCATTGCGTAGACCAAGTTCCTGTACCACAATGCAATAAAATTACATTAGTAACATATGTTATAGAAGACACCCCAAATCATTTTTAAAAGCTCATTATTATTTAATCAAAGAAAAAAAATAGCAAAATTAGACTATTTACAAAATATTGAAAGTGGAAACTTTATTAAGTGTATAGGATAAAGTCAAATCTGTACTCAGGAAATTTTATAGGTTTAAGTATTTTCCTTTGTTTAAAAAGACATCATTTCAAGAAGTTAGGAAAAGAACAACAAAATAAATATATGGAACACAAAAAAAGAAAATAATAAAGACAAACTAAGAGAGTTTGAAAATAATAAAACAATTGAGTTGAATAAATCAAAGAGCTGAATGTTTTTTTAAAAATTAATATAATAATCTGACATCTGATAAAGCAACAAAGGGAAAATATAAATAAATCAAATCAAGGCTAATAAAGAGGGCTGGCCCCACAGCTTAGCAGTTAGGTGCGCACGCTCAGCTACTGGCGGCCCGGGTTCGGATCCTGGACACTCACCGATGCACTGCTTCTCTGGCCATGCTAAGGCCGCGTCCCACATACAGCAACTAGAAGGATGTGCAACTATGACATACAACTATCTAAAAAAAAAGGAGGAGGATTGGCAATAGATGTTAGCTCAGAGCCGGTCTTCCTCAGCAAAAAGAGGAGGATTAGCA